ATCGACCCAGCCGCCACGACATGCATGCTTTGTAGAATTTCAAGCAGGTGACGGCCCAGGTCAGCCGGTCGCAGCGTATGTTCCGTTTTCAACTGAAGCTTTCAGAATTGGACCTGCGATCAACGTGATTGGCAGCAGTCGCTCACGCGTTCCACTGCAGGAGCAAGCAGGTGGGAGGTCGCAACAAGGGGTTGGGAGGATTGGCAGTGGAGATGCCGCTTCCGAGCGGGTATCCGCGCAGAGCAGAAACAGCCAGACCTTGGAAGCTGGAGAACTCGGCGGGCTTAGCGGGCTCAGCGTGTCTTTTGGAGAGGCGGAAGGTCCTGAGTCTGCAGAAGGCCGTCTACCAACGTTTGCATGCTTGCAGCCGGCCCTGTTTTCGGAGCACACGGCAGAGTTACCAAAGACGGAAAGCTTGAGCACTGTTTCTACTAGCGAGGCTGACAGCCATACAGGACGGCCTGCTCAAGAGCGTGCTGTACCAGTTGGAAGGATGACCCAGGCCGGCAGAAGCACATCCGTCACTTCACCGGGCTCTCACTAGTCATATGCACTCATTACCAGTCGCCCCGCTGTTTGCTTTGCACGGTCATATTGTTTGCGAACATTCTCGCTTGCAGCTTTGACCCTCGCAATCAGGATGCCGAAGAGTTGGACCAGCTCAGCTTCCGCCCGGGAGGCGGTTCAGAAAGTCGAACCTTCGGCCAAACACAAAATGAGATGCTTGGACGAATTCTACAAAAGTTGTACCATAGTGTACCACATGTCACCTGCAGCATACTCTAGGCAACACAGTCCTGGACTGAGGAAGAAAGGCCCAGCCACAAGTGCAAAGGCGCGTTTGTCTTCATGAAGTCAGGGCTGTAAGCAGGTCAATGCATGTCGGCTTTGTCATCATCGTAGTAACCCGGTCCTGGGCGTGGCGTAGACTGCTCTTTGAATGCGCTTAAGTCAGGGTGACAGGTGATGCAGCGGACGGTATATAGATCCTTGCTGCACTGCCTTGTTTGGGCCACAAATTCTAGCTTAACTATTGCAAATCAAGGAGGACATGCCATAGATGTTTTGTTGCTGAGCATTTGGGATTCTCACCTGCCTCTTGTTAACTCTGCTTCAAAGGGAGCTCCAGAAAGTTGTTCGCTTGGAAGGTCGTTCGAGGTGGGGACGCCCGCGGAATTCCACGTCGGAGCACGGCAGGCGGCGGCAGCGCTGCGGTCAGCCTTTCTACTAGCCCTGCGATCCCTCCTGGGTCCGCTCTGAATGATTCTGGAGATTGGCACAGCTGTGCCTCTGCAAATGGATCGGAGGATGGGGGCCTGGAGTCGACAAGCAGAAGCTTGTCATTTGCATTTCATGATGCGCGGTCACCAGAAAATGCTACCTCAGACATGACTGCGCTGCCTTCGTCGGCTTTGCTGGTGCCTGCCAATGCTTTCATGGAACTTGCCGAGTTGCCTGACTCTCCGTGGATCAATGTTACAAGTCCTGCAAGGGGCTACATGCAACCACGACGAAGTTGGCCTTTCACACACCGCAGTTCCCACTCGCCTGTCAGCGTTGGCCCGTCTACTCTGAGCCCATCAAACTATTCTTTCCATCTGCCTCCAGATCTAGCCCAGAAGGTCAGTAGCACTCTTTCTCCGACATATGTGCCATCACTTGAATTTTCGGTTGGAGGGCTGCACCACGATCGTGGGCGTGAGAAGACGTCCAGTGCTCCGGCAAGTGCAAGAGAGTCAGAGATGGCATCCTGCCCACTACTGCCAATCGAGCGTAAACACTGGTCACCAAAGGCTAAAGCTGGTAACAGGAGATCACAGAGCAAATCCCCCTCAGCCTCAGCATCACCCAAGAGTCCTCAAGTTGATCGAGCACAGTTGCCAGTACAGCTTTCCGAGTCCAAAACGCCAAGCCCCAAGCGGGGATCTCCTCAAGCAAGCCCAGTAAGCTCGCCTATGCCAGCACCTTCCTCATCGTCTCCGCCGTCCTCGCCTTCAACTTCTCCCACCCCATCGCCAGAGAAGCCTCCGAAGGGTGGAAGGAAAGGTGCCCCCCCCAAGGGGCTAGGGAAGGGCAAAGACAAAGGCAAAGGAAAGTCTGAGAAGGGCGCCAAGGCAGAGCCCAGGAAGCCAGATGTCAAGCCTGGGGTGCAAGTCAAGAAGCTATTCTGGAATTCCTTCCGTATTGACAGTGCTCAGAACACGGTGTGGAATGCGATCGAAGAAGAAGGAGCACAGATTGACACAAAGCAGCTTGAGACGTTGTTTTGTGATGAGCCCCAGCGGGGCTTTCATCGCTTTGCTTCGCCCTCGCCAGAGGGTGATCGACCAACTGTGAAGCGGGTTCAGGTTGTAGACACTCAGCGACGGCGTCAAGTCTGCGTCATGCTCGCAAGGCTCCCACCCCCGCCAGTTGCGGCAAGGGCCCTGCTCCACATGGACAGCGCTGTTCTGAACACAGAGCAGGTAGAGTTACTTCATTCAAATTTGCCTTCAGAAGATGAAATCAAACTTCTTCGAAAGGCAAAGGCTGACCACACTATCGACGAGTTACACATTTGGGACACTGCTGAAGACTTCCTGCTTGCCCTTATCGCAGTGCCGCAGTTTGAGGTGCGCCTACGTGCCTGGCACTTCGAAAACTCGTTTGAAGAACGTTTTGACGCACTTGCAGATGGACTCAGAAGTGTGCTGCTGGGATGTAGTTCTGTGCTGGATTCTCGCTGCATTCGGCACCTTCTTGGCATAGTCTTATATGCGGGAAATTATTTGAATGGTGGCACGCCTCGCGGCCGAGCTGATGGATTCTCGGCTTGTTGGTCATCTGATTATCTTGCTCTATCTTTGAGTTCCGCATCGAGCATAACGCGTCAAACGTGCGATCATGTCAGGCAATGCTAATCATTGCTAATCTGTCAAGAAAGAATCTCCCCCACCCCAGTTTTGCGGATTAGATTTACGGAAGGAGGGGTTCGCAACAATAAACGAGCCGGGCAGGGGAAGTACGAAGTAGAAGAAGTAGTAGCATAGCCTGGGCTGCTTGCTCGAATGAGCACAGTGCTCAGAAATTGTCAGCTTCTGATACTTGAAGGTTCCCAGCATTTCCAGGTGGGAAAGCCTGCGGCTAGTAAGTTCTGGGCTTGACGGCTTCTGAGATCAAGGCTTTGATTGAAAGCAGACATGTCAAAGCCGGGACATGTTTTGGCGCAGAGTTTTTGGTGGCTCCGGAACTTGTTAAACAGATTTAGGAGGCAAATGTGGTCTTCCGGATTTTTGGGGCCTCTTTCTGAATGTGAGGTTAACCTCGTGGCTAGCGGGCCGAGCGTGCGTTGAGCCAAGGTTTTGCCTTGGACACGCTCCCCATCATGAGGACCGTCAAGATGTCACAGGGGGATCGCCCTGGGACGCTGGTAGATTACGTCACTGGACAGATGGAGAGACGGCATCCCGGAGATCTTCGTACAGTATTTGCGCAAGGCGGTGAGTTTGAGATTCTGACGCGAGCTGCCCGGCACAAGGTGCCTGACCTTGCAGACGAGCTGAGGAAGTTTCGCAGCCAGGCCGAGCAACTCCACAGCCGGCTACAAGGGGTAGGTGGCAGCACGTTGAAGGTGCACACGGGCAATGATCCTGCTGAGGCTAACTTGGCGGCAGGTTCTTCACCTGCGGATGTGGACGATATTCTCTTGAGCCGTGGGCACTTGCTTCAGACTCGAATCGAGCAGCTGCAGAATCTGGAAGCCGAACTGAAGCTAATCGAGGAGAGACTTTTTTTTTCATGTATGCTCGCGATTCATCATGCTTTTTTTGCTGACCGCGGTGCAGCGAAGAGCGCCAGCAGGCAGACCAGAGGGAACAAAGGGTGCAGCAGAAGGAAGGAGGTGCGATAGGGTTCGAAGAACTAGCCGAATGCCTGCATGAAGCAGAGGTTTTCAGAAGAGCCAGGAAAATCACAACATGAGAGCGAGAACACTAGGGGGGTTTAATTTTATACACATGAACAAAAATTACATACACGTTGCTATCATAAACGAGTACATGGCTATCAAGCGCAAGGATGGGCCGTCAAAAAGTGATAGTCCCTGCTATTTGCACCATATGGTGATTCGGCGATTATCTGTTGATAGCTATCTAATTTCTTTTTGATAGGAAGGCGCATGTTGAATATATCTTTGATAGTGTTTTTTTTAAATTGCTGATCGAAAACGGGTTTTAGTTTTGGATCGCGAATTATAAAAAATGGATAGTAGATGATAGTATTGAATTTGTTTGTAGCTCACCACAAGAAAACTGGGTCCTTACATTTTTTGCATGCATTTTGCCAGGGTTTGCCAGTAGGCCCGCACTGCTCATACTAATACACTCGCCACCAATACTTTGAAGCCACTGGTGAACTGGTGTCTTGCAGGAGAAGTACGAGGAGATCGTGATTTGGTTTCACATGGAGGAGAGGGGCGTACGAAAACCTATAGACGAGTTCTTTCACATTTGGGACAAGTTCTTGAGGGATGTCCAGGTGGCGCACAAGGCACACGAGCAGCAAGAGTTGAAGGAGAAGCGGAAGTCGTCCATGCCGCCTCGGCGGGCAACAATGCATGCGCCACGTGAGAAGGAGCGCGGCGATCGTCTCCGCAGCCTCACACCGCGACGTTCACTGAAGGACGGTTTCAGCAGTGCTGAGGGAGCAGTTGAGGACGCGCCGTCTTCAAACTTATCGAACGCACGACCCAGATTTGCCAGCCACGCGGACCTGAGTCGAGAGCACCGAGCCCAATCTGTTGAGCAGGCTGAGGCTGACGTCTTGGCTCAGCAGACGTTTGCAGGAAGTAGGGATGCGGAACTTGCATCTCTGGCGCAAGAAGTGCCCCATCAAAGAGAGAGCGCATAACCAGTCGCAACTATAGCCAATGCAGACAGTGAGTCCGCAAAAATGGCTGCGACAGACACAGCAATTGCGCCAAAAGATTTCAAAAGATACTGCTTCGCATAGTTGTGGTAGATCTTCTTTGAGTAGGTAGGATTCGGAGCGCAGAGGGACGGTGGGTACCAAGCGGCATCTTGGGGCATACAGCAAGAGCGTCGAAGTTTTCATTGCCTTTGACATTCTCTGAGCGACTTGCTGCGCCGTCACCGCCTGAATCTTGGTCGAAGTTCAATCTGCTGCACCTTGAACCCCACTAGCTTTCAGTTCAACGCTGGGGGAAGGTCCGCTTTTTGACATGGGCGCAGGGAGTTTCAGTTCAGTTGGCCTTGAGTCGCGAGATCTATTTTGATTCAGCTCGAATGGCTCGGCTTGCCTACACGTGCTTCTGTGCTCTCTCGCCTTTTTTGCGGCTCTCAGTTGCCATGGGGCTGTGGCGTGTGCTTCCGCAACACTCCCTCCAGGGCGATGAGGGAATCCTGGTGCGCGAGGGCCCTGGTTTGGAGAGTGCCGGGTCCTGAGTCATGAGGCTTCTTCAGAGCACGCCTGGAAGATGCAGAGGTAGATTTGGAGCATGCCTTTGCTCCCTAATGTACCATAATGCTGCAGGGTTGGAAGCCGTCGCCTGCTTCCGGTGCACGTCCTTACTGTCAACACCAGCAACCCAAATATCATCTCAGCTACAAATCTTCCTGCGGCTCCATGTGAGGGCTGCATCCAAGGCAATGCTTCCTTGCAGTGTGTGTTTGGTACTGTCGGCTTGCAGGCCATTGCCAAAACTGATGGCGTGTTGATGCATGCTTTCCTGTGTTGGCCATTCTGCAATATTGAAAAATGTGAGGTCCCAAAGGTTCAACCACGAAGAAGGCAATAGATCTTTGGATCTTGTTCCCAGGTAGGCGCGGGTTTCGTCCAAAAAGGTCACGTGACTGGACGCAGCAGGCAAATCCCTGCTCTGACAAAAGGTCACCAGGAGATGCAACCCAACTTGTATAAAAAGCTCGTTCTGTGAAAAGCACGTCCGTCTGCAGTGCGCTCGAGGCGGTGCTCGGGCGGCTCAGCTATGGTGCCTTGGTGCAGGAGCAGACGCAGGCAGAGACTGCAATGGCAGTCACAAGTTGGGCGCCCTATGCTGTGCACTTCCGTGAGGCGGGCGCGCGGCTAGAGTTCTCGCTACTTCGGGGTCGTGGCCCAGCTCGGGGATGGGTCTCGCTGCGGGTGAAGGGGCGATCGCTGCTGGAAGCTGTCACGATCCCCGAGGAGCCGGAGACGCAAGTTCCGCAGGTGGCCTTGGAGGACCCGGACCTTGGCGTCGCAAACGGATGGGCAAATTGGCACGGCTTTCGTCGTGCCTTGGACATCCATGCAACAACATGCAACTAGCCTGCAAATTATGAATATGTCCAAGGCAGAAGCCAAGGTGTTGCCAATTTCCGGGATGTGGCAGACTCGAGCCAACCCATCCTTTGTCGCAACGGCCGGACGCTGCGCAGGGGAAGGCTGTTCAGGTCTGGGCACATGGCCGCCGCGACAGCCGAGGACCTGGCAGTTTGGCGGCATGCAATTTGCACATGGCTTTGAAAGCATAGTCCAGCAAAGCATAGGCCCAAGCTTAACGCCCCTGAAATGATAACTGTTGAGTGCCAAGCGCGACTAAGGTTGTGCTGCGTGAGCTGCAGCTCCGAACCTACGTGGATCTGCGTGAGGGCATGGATTTCGAGGGAGCGGATGCACCTGTCTACGTGGAGCTCTTTCCGCCCAGCCCCAAGCAGACCCGAAACATGCCACAAGGATCCCAAGGAGAAAGCAAATTGGAATCGGCGCGGCTAACGGGAAGCAAGGATTCCGAGGAGCGCTCCACACGCCGGGTGTCTTGCCCCTTGACAAAGGCAGGGAAATTGGAAGATCCCCTGGTAAAAGCTCCAACTCTTCCTCCGTGCATGCATGTTAGGACTTGCGCTTGCGGCCCTGGACTGCAGCGGAGAAGGAAGGGCTTGTGCCTGAATCGGACCACCAGGCCAGGAAGTTCGCATACTTGCAAAGGATACGATGCGCTGCATGCGGTCAGGCTTGGAATTCATGGTGGTTCCAGCGGCTGACTCGATACTTGGCCTTTTCTCATGTTGCCTCATGCCTCTTTTCTTTTTTGGCTGTTTCTTGTTTTTTCATTTTTGGGTGAGGCCGGATGCTGGCAAAGGGGGGCTTGAACGTGGCAAGCCACCTGGCAGCTGTCAACCGGGCGGTGCTCTTCGTGAATGCCGAGGAGCTTCGCAAGGCACTCCTTGTCCTCACCGAGGACAGCCATGGAAGGCAGTAGACTCAGACCTTCGGATGATGACCCAACAGCAGTGCTGCAGGAGCAGAACTACCCGGTGGTGTTTGGCTGTGTAGCAGGAAAGGACCGAACTGGACTGCCGCAAGGGCCGCACATAAGAACAGTGATCCAGAGCTGTGTTCATGAGGACTGATGAGAAGAATCTGGATGCAGGAAATGTTGAGCAGAGAGCCTGTGCTTTCAGGCTGAGCTGTTTGGTGCTCTCAGCCCTGGGTGTGGAACGGGCAGCAATCGAGCGCGATTACCTGAAATCCAATGAGGCCGCCCTCCCGCTTCCACGCACATCTGCCCAAGTACAAATGTTATTGACTTGGGGAATGTTTCTGGAAGTGATCAAGCTCTGGTTCAACTGTCCAGTTTCTAAAGGGGTGTGACTTTGCCCTGAGCAATACTGTATGTCATTTTTGTCCTTGCCAGCCAGCATGTACTAGTCTTGCAAGAGGCCGCCCGGCACGTGGATGCCTGCAATCAGGTGGCTCAGCACCTCTGGCAACCGGCTGATGCACTTTTAACAGTTTTTCATGCTCGTTGTTTCATTCTTTTACTATCTTTTGCTCCGCACGGCATCCCAGAAGCCAGGGTGCAGTGATTCCAAGGTGGCAACAGGTGGAAGTTGAGGCACCTGAGCGGTGGAAGCGGCTGCAGCCCACCCTCCCCGTGCTACGCTTTGATGCGGCCTGGGAGGGGTTCCCGAAGATGCCAGAAGTAACACCAGATCAGCCCAAGGCGGCTCCATTAGAGGAGACAGGACTGGAAAATTTGCAACGGAGCTCTGTTGTGTATCGGGGCACTCTGGAGTACACGCTGGCCCTGTTGGAGGATGCAGGACTGGCGACTTTCAAGTATCAAGGAATTCAAGGAGTTTGGCTCCATGCTGCATGTCTGCTCTGAGGAGGCGCTCTGGCTTACCTGGAGTCCATCGGTTTTGGGCCGCAAGAGGTGGAAAAGCTTGTGGTCAACCTCACGGAGTGAGAAAAAACTGCTGTTTGCCATCTGCCAATCCTTGAGCTCTGCATGCAGCACTCTTCTTCCTTTCCCAAACTCTGGAATCTAGCAACCTGCAGAATGAGCAGGCCATTTGGCATTCTGGCTTGACAGTCCAGCCGCTCATATGAGCAATGGTCAATACT